CAGTGCGGCATCACCTCCTCCAAGACCGTCCTCGTCTTCCTCAACCTCATCTTCTGGGTGAGTCCGCGGGGCTGGCACCGCGCCGCGGGCGAGGGGGCAGCCGGCGTTCGGGAGCCTGAGGCAGCGCTGCTGTGGTTGAAGGCGTTACTGAGGCGCGCGGGTGTCTATGCGTTCTGCAGCCGGTTTGGGTTTTGTGCGGCTCCCGTGTCCGTCCAGGGTTGGCCTCGCACTTGAAGGACATAGAGTCTTAGAATCATAGAATCAACCGCGTTGGAAGAGACCTCAGGGATCATCGAGTCCAACCCTACCGTGGTCACTAGACCATGGCACTAAGTGCCACATCCAGTCTCAGCTTGGAAACCTCCAGGGGTTGTGACGCCACCACCTCCCTGGGCAGCACATTCCAATGTCTGAGCACTCTCTCTGTAAAAAATCTCTTCCTAATGTCCAACCTAACCCTCCCCTGGCAGAGCTTGAGTCTGTGCCCTCTTGTCCTGCTGCTGGTTGCCTGGGAGAAGAGACCGACCACCACCTGACTCCAACCTCCTGTCAGGGAGTTGTAGGGGGTGATAAGGTCTCCCCTGAGCCTCCTCTTCTCCAGGCTGAACACCCCCAGCTCCCTCAGCCTCTCCTCATGGCACTTGTGCTGGAATGGTAGATACTCGATGACTCTTTGTAACGCAAAACTAGGAGATGTATATTTATGCTTCCCTGATTCTACTCGGCACAGCAGCACCGCAGCCTCCCACAGCTGCTGTCACGCTGGGAGTGAGACAGAAGCTTGCAGAAGTGGAGCAATAAGTGCTGTAAATGCCCTTTCTCAGGATGGATGCAGAGGCTGCAGCTTGGCGTTGTGCTCGCTGCAATAATTGGCTTGTCAGAGCAGCACAGCTCTGATGAATGGAATCAAATTAGAGAACACTCCGTGGTCATTCAGCGATTCCCTTCGTGCGTTTTTAGGCACTGCATTTCTCCCCCTCCAGTCCAGCTCGAGGAAATGTGTGTTGTCCTAGCTGGTCACAGATGGCACTTTTGATGAGCTAGTAGTGGTTTCCAAGGTACTTGAACATAAAAGTGGAGCTGTACATCATGTAATACTGAAAGCCATGTGAAATCACTCAAGTGTCATGGCATGAGTGTTCCTGCCTGGATTTTTACGAAGGAAAATTCTCATGGTGCCAGGGAACGAGTCAGAGTCAGGGAATACCTGTGCATTTGTCTGTGCAGGGAGGGGAGCACTGAATGCAAGGCACATTTGGCTTCAGGTGGTGCAGATCGGGAGTGAGTTTGGCCGAGGGGCACAGGCTCAGCTCTTTACCTTTAAAGTGTGAAGTACTTAGATCAACCTCAGTGCAGCTGTTTGCTTGGGATCTGCTGTGCTGGGTGTGGCTTTTTGTTCCAGGCATAGTTACAAAAGGCATTTAAACAGCTCTTTAATAGCTCCTCTGTCATACTTAAAGTTTTTGTCGGGGCACAGTGTGAGTTCCATTCTTGATGGCTCCTTGAAGTGGATTTTTCTTTAGCTGCTGATAAAAGTTAGATTCCAAGTGAATGAGTACAAACTCTGTATGCAGTTTCTCTCCCACTCCCAAAGCTTAGTGGTAGTTTTCATAGTTTATGTATTAGGAAGGTGTTTATTTGCTGCATTTTGTAATTTAATTGCATGCTGGACATTGCAACTGTTCATCTTAAACAGTGGTGGGATCAGGGTTACTTTGTGTTATGCTGCATTCAGTGCTTTACAAGTTTTGATGGCTTCCCTTGAGACAAACTTGGCTTAATTTAGAACGGACAGATTGTGTTTAGATAAGATGTACTTCACATCAAATTGAAATGTCATCAATCTTGTGTTCTGTGAACCACCTCCAGCCCAAGAAGTCAACTTGTGCTGATAGCTTTTTGGCAGATAAGTGACTGGGTTGCTTGTGCTGGAACAACCTTGCAGCTCATCAGCTGCATGTGGAATGAGACAGGGGTGAGAGTCTCAAACATCACTGCTTTTCCTCTCTTTAGCAAGCTAGAGCCTAAAAATGGGAAATCTAAAGTGGTACATCTTCACTGTTACATGGCAAAAGAGAGAGAATTCCAACTCCTGGTGCAGTGTGTTTCATCTGTTGAGTGAGCAGTGTGTGCTACGCTTGGTGCTCATCTCCAGTGGAATTGCTTCTGTGTGTTACAGAAATCTTCTGCTTGTCACTCATATGTAGTTCCAGTTTTGATAATTGGATCATCCAGATTTCCCCTGAGACTTGACAATACATAACTGCCTGTAATTGGTCAAGTAACTATGAAATCCCATTTAATTGCTTTTATAAATTCAATGTGTCTCTGTAAGGTGTCATGTGTAAGTATTATCACCATCTTCATGGTCATCTGTAACAGCAGCAAGTTGTTATTACACAGTTTGCTATCAGAAGTTGTGCAAGAAGAGCTGATCCCGGTGACTTGTAACTCCCCCTCAGTGGGTCTCATGCCCCTGGGAGGCTGTGAATGTTCAGAGCTTTGGTGTCTCTGCCTTATGACTTTGAGGTGTTCAGAAAATTATCACTTGTGCTGAAGAACAAAAACATCTCTGCTTTTTGTACTCTGTGGTCTAGGATTTGACTTGTGGTTTAACAAATTGCTTTCAAGCCCTCTGCCAAAGGCCGGTGAGGCTTGCTGACAGGTCAGAGCCACAGCCACTCACTCCTTCATCGTCTGCAGCTCTACAAGGTCTTCTCTACAGACTTCAGCTCTACAAGTCCTTGTAGACAAGTCTTGTGCTACTTGTTATTTTCTCACCGACACAATTAAAAACTCATCTTGTTCCTTGTCTTGTGCAAACTCTTTTCATACCCTGTGAAATTTTTACCTTAACTGTGCTTCCCTACATGTTAGCAATCACTATAGGTGGAAAGGAAGGGCTGTGGAAGCTCCTCCTGTCACAGCAGGGCAGGGGCTGGTTTATATTACAGCTGAGGGGACTCTGTGCACCTTTCCAGCTGTTTGGTGTGGGACTTGGGCTTTGCTGTGGTACTTTAGACTTCAGCTGAGCTGTATTTGCAGGGGTGTCAGGCACTGAGTGCCTCCTCTCTAGGTGCCCATACTGCTGGAATTTTGGGTGATTTGTCGAGTGCTTAAGCTCTAAAGTGCTTTACCCAGAAATGTGTTGATAAGAAGCATCAGTTAAAACTTGCCCTTCTGAGAAAGACCAGAGGAATACAGATCAGATTAATGTCTCTTAGTGTTTTGTTGCTCTGAGTTAGTTTTGGAGTGGATATGATAAAGGATTAAGGCAGAGCAGTCCTTCAGTTGTCCTTTATCTTGTCTTAAATTTGCACAAGGGCAGCAAGTGACTTCATTTTCAGTTAGGGATGCTAACTCCCCTTCTTTAAGGAAGGGGATTGCATAGGAAGTAATTCTGATGTGAAAGGCAACACAACTTGGAAATAAAACCATGAAGTTTCTAGTACATATGTTTTCTTAATCTGCAATATTTTTGTTATCTTGCTGAAACGTTGATTATGACCAATTGCAAAACACTTGAAGTATTTGAGTAGCATGCTTTTCAAAAGAACTGATGTTAAATGACAAGTCTGCATCATTTTGAAGGAGGAAGAAATAAATTTACCTGGAACAAATACCTAAAGGCTGCTCAAAGATGTGTTTGTTTTGTGCACCCTTCGTTTAAGGCTTCATGGTGTGACTTGCATAATTCAGTTGAAAGCAGTTTGAAGCAGTGAGATGAAGACAAAAATGCTAAGGAAATGCTTTCAGCCCTATGTTTAGGATATAGGTGAGGAGGATAAAATATTCAGAGATGCTTGTAGTCTTGCTTCAGGAAAGGGAGTGTGTCTGGTTTATATTCCCAAGGAATCTGTGTGCTGTGACATTCTGCTCTGCTGAAACAGTTCTTGTTATCCTGTGCTTCTCTCGGGTTGTTATCCTCACCTCCCTGTCCTCCTCCTTGAGCAGAGGAGTGAGCTCTGCTCTGCAGTGCTTCCAACTCAGGAGCTGCAAACTGTGTAAGTTGTTCTTGCAGTTACTTAACTGACTCGAAATCATTGCTTTGACAGTTCCCTTGACTAAGCTGTTACGAAACATCCTTGGTGTGATTGATAAGAGGAATCTCAAGGCTTCAGTGGTGTGCAGCAGG